ATCTTCCCCCACACACTCTTAAACTAAACTCCATCTTAAAAACTTGTAAGCCAGTCAGTTTGTGCCTTTATTGCCCCCTCATTTTAGGTAGCCAATATCTAAGTTGCCCATCCCTATCTACCCTGTATACCGAGGGGATAGGATTGATATTTGATGTAAAGACTCCTTCCTCATCTTTTTAATGCCAGATCACTTTCTTCCCATTTGATTTTTGTAATCCTGTCCCACAGCAATTCTCGTCTTTGGTCATTAGTGCCTAATGCATCCAGTCTGTTCTTCAGGTGGGATGTTTTCAGGTTCTTCTTTTGGCTCTTATCTATTTGTTTTACTTTTCTTTAGCTTCCACCTGAGTTGGTGTACTTAACAACCATGTGGGAGCCATGTCTGATGTCCCCTGCTTTACAAGGGGCAAAGAGTCAAATTCAAAATCAGGCCAGACATGCTTCCATCCTACAATCTTTTCTACCCTATTCTGACACGGCCCATCCATCTGACAGTACTGTCTGCTTCATCTGGGTTTGATAATCCATCACAGTAGTCATACAGAACTCATAACAGCACTTACGAATATGGGGTTTATCAGGGAAGTGAACAGGGTACAATTCAGAATTTCTCCAGTCTCTTGGCTGCTGCACTGCAGGCACGCCCCACTCTGGTCTGCAGCCTCTCAGCCATGCGGGGCCCTTGGCTTCTGCCCTGCTTGGGCAAGTGTTACAAAGCTCTTTAGCCTGTTGGTGAATTCCCAAAGGGCATATTCTTTAATCTAGTCTCCTGCCTATAGACACTCAGCTTTATTCAGCCCATAGAGCTAGAGCCCAAAGCTGCTGTCTCTCCATACCAATCCCTCTGCTGTGGCCTCTTGCTGTCTCTTACTCCACTCATGTTCTTCCTTCTTGATGGTCCTGGGATCTTCTGTCTTTTCTCAGATGGCTCCTTTTAAGCCTAACTGGAGAGGAAAACTAACCAGTTCCAGCTTTAGAGTCCTGTATACCTTCTTCAATTTGTATGGTTCCAGGCATTGTGGGTTAATGCTCTAGCTTGCAAAGTCAATTTGAACCAAAAGATCAATGGTTCAAGCTCACCAACTGCTCCTCAGAAACCCTATACAGGGTCACTATGGGTTGGAACTGACTCAACGGCA